GGAAAATAACATGGAAATAGGCCTACGTATAAGGTAGAACTTTAATGAATAAAACTCAAAGTTTGCATAAGCTTCCGTAGCTACAACAGCTTGGCTAAAAAAAAACCCAGCTGATTCAAACTTTAGTTTTATTAGTCGTTATTTAAGTGCTACTTTACTTTTTCATTCAATTTACCAGATATCTTAAGCCTGGTTTTTCTAGCTTCTGGTGCTATTAAAACATCCAAACATTTAGAATGAAAGTCGGGTATTACTTGACATCATTTTTAAAATACTAAATGTATATTAAAACAAACTCTTCAAGTTACTATCGAGTAATCCATTGGGTTACGAGTACAATGCTGTCAATGTTAAGGCCTGCGGGGCACTCCCCTGGTGAACAATAACACTCAACACATACTTATAACACACGAGAACCAGTGAGGTACGAGCTTGCATTCTAGACTAATTCCTGTCTTTCATTCCACAGTTTAACATATAGAAACGAACACAGAACTGGCCTAATGCTTATCTTTCGTTGCTTGGGTGAATCCAAGGCCGTTTTCCAAACCCCGGCATCGGCTTCGTCTCCGGCTGCGGCTCCATTGCCATACTGGTGACTGAAGTCAGACACCGAAACGAAATCGGAACTTGGAAAACGGCCATGCACCTTGTTTTCATACATGTATTGTAGGTGATGCATTCATCTAACGACTTAATATATTATGTTAGAGCTGAAATATGAAAATCGTTTAGTTGTATAAAAAATTGTCATGCATCAAAGACAAATTACACTTACCATAAAAACACTTTGATACAAAAAATGCATTATATAAGCACATTGAGGAACTGCAAATTGTGATGAAAAACTGTATTAGTACAAAATAGTTGGTGCAGCTGGCGTGAACAAAAATACACAATATTTGAGGCGACAGACGAGCACGTTTTATGGTTAGTGTGCATTGGCGGTGCGTGTTAGTACACGGAGCATTCCGAGTTAGAATGACGAACATTTTGATGTTATAGAGGTCTGCATGGGTGCGAGTCGCCGAGAAAGACCAATGGTTCATTTCTCTCCATTCGATCATTTTACACATCAATTTGTTTTTCACATGACGGACCGATGTTAGTGTCAGTGTGACAATTGAGGTCGAAATTTGCCAAACAATGGTGACGTCAAGATCAATACCAATTTCAAAAACACTCTGATCACTCTCAGATTTGCTTACAAAACAACATATCAGAGTTTATTCCTAACATTCGTCTTTGGTATTATTTCAGAGAGTTTGAAATAATAACTGTACAATAAGTCTTAATTTTCCAGCTAAACAATACACTTGAATTCGTTCACTGGGAGTAAATACCCCCGAATTTGTTGTTTTTATATTCTGAAAAACAAAGATTTTTGCTATTCATAATCACAGAGAGAACCTATATTTTAATTGATATATTATTACTAAAGAAATAAATAGTAGTCCGAAGAGATACTTAATACATTTTGTGAAGATCCTGTGCTTATCCTACGTCTACGATTTTGTTAACGGTCCAACTCCCTCATAAACGCTATTTTAAAAGAAAAATACCTTGCAAGTAAAACAGAGTGACGATAATTTTGTCAACTTGCCCTACAATAATGCGGTAATTTACTGAGTTCTTTCTTAAATCAATTCCCGGGAATGACGCAAACATTATTCGTGATTATCATTTCACCTAAATATCGTCAGTTTTATGTCCCTTACTCAACATAAACCCCCGAATTAAAACAAGTAATTTCTTGAATATCACATTTGGCTAATAGCCAAAGATGACGACTGGCATTATTTGATTGTCGAAATGTCATCTCCACAGCACTTTATCAGACGGGATCCTTTAGGGAAAATAGCATCACTAATTTGTCCCTAGGGAATTGGCTTGTATTTAAGCCCGCCTTAGAATTATAGTGTAAACAATCTGAAAGTAATATTATTCTACGCGCATGAATAAATGACGAGTACGGCATAAGGCTATGACATCAAAGGCGTCAGCTATGAATGCACATTCATAACCGTTGGGAATTGAGGGTTTACTCGAGTGCGTTTTTTTTCTTTAGTTGCCATTGATTGGGCTATCTCTAAGAAGGTCGTAAAATGTCAGCGTTATTGAAAATGAATTGAAAATGAATACATTAACTCAAGTTGGTTTACTATAACAAAAAAATGATAATATCAAGACGGCCTACTGTTTAATTCGTAAAACAGATGGGCAATCAAACGTGTTCTTAATTTTGTTTAGTGTCCTCATTTTCTCAGTGCCATTATAAGATATGCTCATTAGAATTATCGTCCCAATGTTTGCACACATTACTCTGTCTTGGACAATTTCCAATTTGACTTGAAACAGTTATTTGACTGAATTGTAATAACCTCATATTTTTGGCCAATTGTTTTTAAGAAAGTTTAGCCTACTACTTTCGCAATATTTCGCCCTGATAAAGGAGCGACGTCTCTCAACATTATGGTGTGTCTTTAGATTACGCAAATGAAACATATTAGTTAAAAGTCGTGTGATCAGAACAGTCTAATAAGAAATACATCTATATTTCTATTTTCGAAAGAGTGGTTTACATAATGTTCAAATCCTAGTCGACACACGGGCTATTATATACAATCATTAGTGTGTTGGTGCTGCGAGCTTAGTGCCAGATTAATACGATAATTATTATGGTCATGCAAAATAACCAAAAGTGTTAATCGTGAGTTTCGTGAGCAACAAAATTAGTTGAACATTCTTAAACAAACTTTAACAAATTAGTGCATATAAGTACAATGTATTAGTGAAAATGGATCTTTAGTTAGTAAATAATAATAATAATAATTACAAATTAACTCTTGCATTGGTAGATAGAAAAGATATTAGTTCAAACTCGAAGATGTTAGACGTTAGTGCGATGAAGTGTAGATGGCATCGGTGCATAGCATTATGCCCCAGACGGGGCCTCAATGGCGGGTAAAGTATTGAGCGATTTGCAACATATGGGGTACCAACAATTTGTCCAAAACATGGACGGGGAAATCAGCATTATGCATGAACATTGAGCTCGTCTGCTTCCAATTGCGCTAATCGTTCTATTGACTAATGTTAACACCTTACCAAAAGAAAGCGCTGGTCCTGCGCATGAGAGTTTTCTAACCTCAGTTGAAAATTCCAGTTTAACATGAAATTTGTAACTGTTTTTCAACTGGTATAACTGTTTTAACCGGTTTTTAACTGGTTTAACTGCTTCAAAACCACCAGTTCAAAACCAGTTAAAACCAGTCACCGATGTCTATTATACAACTGGTCCAGTTGACACCAGTTGAACAAAGTTAAACTGGTTTCAACAGGAATTTTCGCCTGGGTTCCAATTGTGGTTACCTTATGATTCCATGCGTACTTTTTTCCATGCTTGATATATAGTTACACCTTGTCAAATTGAACAGTCAGGATTTTTATTTTGTCAATGAGGGGATGTCATGGAGTTCAACCCGCCATTGCCGACCCCGTCCCTACCTAGAGCCGTTGTGGTTGTCTTGCGGCATTCGTCCACGTACCAGCCGGGCATGCTGGTGTTGGTTCGCAGCAACTTGGCCAAACACTTCATGGTGAGGGCGTCCTCCGGCACAGAAACTGTGCCAATAACCAGCGAGGTCGGTGCCACTGTTTGAACAGAGCAACGGAACAGTTTAGGGTACCTGGTCAAATACGGTGTCTAGCCTACGACTGTTTGTTGGAGTTAATATCTCACTCGAGCAGGGGGGAGTCGGCTTTGCACAGTGGTAGTCTTCTCGCCTGCCATCTCCATAGCCTAGCTCAAATACCATCCAATTAAGCCCGTGGTTTGCATATTTGGTTTCCACTCCCTATCTGATTCCCTTTGTTTCCCTGCGATATAATTCCTAAGACTTCCTCCTACCTATACAAGCATTTTTAGACTTCTCTCATCGTGGGTTCCTTTGGGATTCCGAGCTAAAGTGCCTATATGCAGAAACCTTAATCAGATTCATTACCAATGAGAATCGAAATTCACAAAAACAGATATATAATAATAATCTTGGTAATAATCGAATTACATTATACATTTTTTTTTAAATGACCGAAGTAACTGTAAAAAGTCCGGGTCAGATTTATCCCAAGATCGGGGTCAGATTTGACCTGACACTAATTCGGTTCAAAATGACACTTTGTCTGGTCATTTCGACACGGAAAGGTATGAGGTAAATTATCACCCGGATGTCGGGTAAAATTGACCAGGACTTTTACAGTGTAGGCTATGGCCAGCCGATTCCGGCATGCTTTGTGGTTGAGTGGTGGTGGAGACGTCTGCCAATGTAGCCTCAAGCAGGAGGTTGTAATGATACCTTGAACCTTGAACAGCTTTTGAATTTTTAATAACAGGCGTTCGGGCAGTGCTGAGTAGGCCTACACCGCGCTGATACTTCGATGAAGTGGTAAAGACATGTTTTAAATCCCATTTTAAGTGTAAGTCTTGCGTTTGCTTTGTAAGCCTAACACTCTTTACATAATTATGAAGTAATTGCAAATGGCTACAAACGTTGGTTTGGATGAGAGTTTTTTTTAGTCATCTGTGGAGCTACATCTCATACCAAAATACAACAGTTTACACAATTTTATCCTGGAAGTTATCGATTACGGTCCATTCACCTCGATGTAATTACAAGAGTAATGCAAAATCATCGTGGGAGAGAAACGATTCCATAATATTTCTCCAATATTACAAATATTAAGTTGTTGTCTTCTACTAAATTTATGATTAAAGTGGTTTCAAAAGATTAACAATTTCAAAAAATATTCAACAATATGTCGACACGTGTTGTCAGTACTTGTCAGTTGTCAGTAAAATAATTCGACTTCGCGGTCGTTCACTCGCGTTGATCGCGCCTATGGAGACCTCTATAACGAGCGACACACACACGAGAGGGCACGGGACAACTGAAAAACACATCCACGAGCTAGGCGGGCAGACAAACTGCAGTATACTATACCTAAGATGGTGGTCATCGCGTTCATGCATCGCATCATGGCACGGTTAGGCCGTTTTGGTTTTGATTCGGCAACCATTCGGGCGCATTCGGCCGAGCGTCGGCCCGAGGGGTACGAGGTGGTGCCGATCACTACCGACTCTCTACTGGTTCCTGGTAGGACTAGCAATAATTAATGGATACAAGATGAAAACAAGATGATTTCAGAGCGCTTGTCGGCATTGTTTCACTTTAGTGCTTCAGGACTCTTGACCGGACAAGCTCTTAAAAGCCTCGGGTAAGATTCGCTCGGAATCGACAGAGTCAGACTTGACTGGAAATTCTCTCGTTCAAAGTGGCACTTTTTGGAGTCACTTTTATCGGCCTATTTGATCCGCATAAAAAAGGTGTCACTTTAAACTGCACATTTTTGTTTTAAATATTGAACTAGAAGACAGTCAGGTCACAGCTGACCCCGATGCGATTCTGTGTCGCCTGACTCGGACTCCTGGTCGCCTGACTCGGACTCCGGGTCGGCTTACTCGCACTTCGGGACATTGTCCCGGATTACGGGTTGCCTGACCTGGATTCCGGGTCAGCTGACTCGGACTCCGGGACATTGTCCTGGATTCCGGATCGTCTGACCTGGTTTCCGGGTCGTCTGATCCAGAACTTTTAAGAGTACACGAACTCGAGTAGGGCCCTTTTTCCGTTGAACTCGGGCCTAGACTCGGACTCGGGTATGCGCAGGAATTAGATACTTCCTGTAATAGAAAATCAAAACAGCAAGATAACTCTGAATTCAGCAGCTGAGAAGTTGAATCCAGCGGTTTCACGAGACCATTTTTGACGCACGCCGACGTGAAAGATATACATCAGGATTCTGGACAGCCTCTGTATATAAACGTTTGTGAACACACATAGTCTCATTGTTCACACAATATGAACAGTCAAGATGAACACTTCCATCAAAAAAGAGTCTAGATGTTTGATATGTAGGCTTAACATCGTTGGGAGTGTGCGTAAGCTAGGCCTGTTGTATCTCTTAAATAACAATTATGTTGGACAAAGGATACGGTTAACTCTTTTGGACATAACAAGTACTCCAAGAGAAGATTACCATAAAGTGCTGGGGTATTAAGATTGTCTTCTTTACATCCATCAGTTATTAGAAATACTTGGAGTGTGATTTTTATTTCAGCTGATTCGCGCACGTGGTCCTTCGCGTTCACCGCCCGATGGAGACCTCTATAACGCCACACACAGACACCACATGTGACAGCTGCAAACGCTGGAAGGACTGGTTCCAGTCTGAAGGAGCAGCCAGGAGCATGATACTCAGAAATAAACAAAATGTCTTTGCCTCGTAACATCAGGGCCTAAATAAATGGAGCTGCTCAGCTGATAAAAAGATGCTAAGCATTAATGTGTTTACAAAAAAAGGAAATCGAAGCCCGTTAAAATCCCTGCACAAGTTTTCGATTGATACCATTTTGGAGTATTGTGCTAAGCATTCTGAGCGAAGCAATTTTAACTGATGAGCAAAAAACACCAACGAACAAGTCACAAGTTACTGTGTACATTGATATCTCGTTTGATAATTCTTTTTTTTAGCAACCGATTACCACATTGGTATTTTTATAAGCAACTATTTAAAAGGCTTACTTAATCACTAGCACTGTGTTCAGCAGCTTGCCAAGTTGACCAAGTATTCAACTGTACACAATTTCCTGGAGTGTGCACTGTTGCGTGTGGCTTTACCAGAAACTAACATTGTCAACTGAGCAGCTCCTTAAATAATTGGGCCCTTGACAGCACCAACGCCACAAATTACCACGTTTTGCGAGACACGGCTGGCATTTTGGGATTTTTGCGGCGGGGTTGTATACACTGACATCGCCTCGCTCACTGTACATGTACCGTACCGAAGGCCGTGGTGCCCGCGTTCATACACCCCGACATGACCTGACCAGGCCGGGTGGTGCGCGTGTCGGCCATCACCCGGTTGGCGCACTTCTGTCCCCGTCGCCCTGCCGGGAAGACGGTGGTGCCGATAACGATATTCCCTGGTGAGGCGCCTCTAACTGCTGGCATCAGTGGAGGGAATGAAAGCTAATTAGACACAAGTTTGTAAGAAAGGTTAAGGGTCAATCTGTATATAGGATGAACAGTTCCTTGCAGCTGGTTTCCACCGGACACAACCGTCTGAGTTACAGGGAAACAAAGTGTGGTTACCAGTTAATAGGTTTATTACAAGTAACTTTCATTCAGAACATTGCTGAAAATCACGAGAAATTGCTCTAAATTACAAACGAGGTAATTAACACACACTGAAATTCAAATAATAACAAAAAATCATGTTAAAAAGCATTGCAAAAATACCAAATGCTGATCTTTATCACGAAAAACACTTTCTCGACATTCGATGCCATTTTATGATATTATTTCGTTATTGTATTTTAAAATTTTAGATTTAATCAATGTGAGCGCATATGCAGGAATCGGAGAGAAAACAGTCATTTTTTAAGGTGTAAAATGTAGTGGATCTATTAAAAAATAACGCTTAATATGCAGAACCAAAGGGGAACAAAGGAATATCTGCAGCAGCCTGTAACTCGCCCCATCTGAGCATAAAATAAATTGTCATTTGAGACATTGTTCCTCGAGTGAAACACTATCCTGTGCTTCTCTTTTATGGGGTCTTCTGCGCGGCGACTTAACGCGCGCGATATCCCGCGTTCGTCACCTGATGGATAGCACATGGTTTCCCAGTAGGTGTGAAAGTGACACCCGTCTGGCCGTTACTTCGCCAGCGGGCGAAAATTCAGGTTCCGTCGATTCTTATTTTGTTTTTAACAATATTTGAAATGTCTCTATTTTGCCATGGGCTCTCGGTGAATTCGTACAATCATTTGACACAATTTACAAGTCTAGGGCATTGGAACACCATTTCTTTGTGTGAATAAACTGGAAAAGTGTTCAAACGCCCATAGGACAAACGTGTTCATCAGCTAACGAATAATTATTACAAACGTTATAAACTGATCACAAGGCGCAAAGTATTGCAGCAATCGTTTTCATCAATTTACAGATGACTCATCTGCGATGGTAATATCTAGTTACGTAACATGTGAATCGCTGGCCACCAACCGCTGTGGCCCGGGTTCGATTCCCAACTCGGGTCATAGGCGAGTACCGTTGTCCCTTGACTTTTTTTCTTCCTACGGACTACCCGGCTTTCCTCCATCTGTGAAAAGAACACTTTTTATCACACGCCATTACATGCCTTCAGCTCGACCAAGTTGACGTTGTTACCGCATCCTTCGCAATTCAGCTTCAGCTGCGAGTAAGGACCCTCAGCCCCCAAATGTATTGATGTTTACGTATTACCTCCGCCAAGGAGGCTATGTTTTCATCGGATTTGGTTAGTTTGTCAGTTGGTTTGTTGGTTTGTCTGTTAACAAGATAACTCCAAAAGTTAAGGACGGATTTGCATTAAACAAAATTTAGGGGTGGTCCTTGGTACAAGTACAAATCCATTAGATTTTGGAAGTGATCCGGATCTGGGTCTGGATCCAGGATTTTCTTTTAAGGATTCTTCACCATTTATGCGAGTATTTCTTTTGAGTGTACTGACAATATGGCGGGGAATTGTTTAGCCTTGGCTGAGGTTTGCGCAATCTGAGTGCTTTCTGGTTTAGTACTGGATTTTTTATTTTAAATATCCAGGTTTTATTTTTTCAACTTCTATCAACCTTATTCTGCTCATGCTAATTGCATTTTTAAAAGGAATATTCAACTCCCTATAGTGTGCTCAATTGTATTTGCTTATTTATTTATTCATTTTCAATTCACTGAATTTGTACTGCAGAATTCAATAAAAAAGGATTGTCACCATATAGATAATGTGAATTAACTTAAGTTCCAAAAAAAATCGTGGTTGCTTAGACAGCCATGAATATTTTTTTTATAATAAAATAAAGTTAACTTTGAAGCACGCGCCGAGTAGAATGATTTTCCCACAGTGCACTACGAGGGCAGCATTTCGACGCATCGTCCCAGCATCATAAAGCGAACATACACACGCAGGTCCCTCAAGCATGACCTTTCACCTCAATCATGAAAAAAAGAGTAAATCTGTGTCTAGTAATCATTGAGTGGAGGTGACTGCACGCGTCTCCCCTGCGACTTGGTACGCCGTGAAAGTTCTGAATTCTTCAGGGGGACGTCCGGGCGCGAAACGCCGTCGAACCAGATTTCTCTCCGAGGTCATTTATTTATCTTCATCAGTAAACGAGTTTTGTTAAAGGCACATTCAGACAATACTGCTTAGCAAATTAGACAATATCTAGAGTACCAGTCGACAGCAGTATAGATATGACGTATACAGTTTAGCTGGTAACCATATTTATTTTTGGCTTGGGAAACCCTTTTGTCAAAGTAAGACACAACACGCACAGCCGTATACTCTAGACCGTTTCTTTTTAATTTCTATACAACCAACGGCATCAATTGAATTGTTGATTCTTTCTTCACTATCTTTTTCTCCAGAGGAGATTTATTATCAAAAATTACGGTTATATTTTGATGATGACGCGAACACTGAAAGAACAAGAAATAATAATTAAGATACTTTTTTTTCAACTCATGTTTTGAGCAACATTTTACTGTAGGCGAAGCATTGCGGATATTCTGCAAATTGAAGTTTGCAATCTTTTAAGGCTGTTACAGCAAAACAAAATATTAATTAAAACCTATATATATATATATATATATATATATATATATATATATATATATATTAAACAAATAAGGGCCCAAACGGGACAGAGACCCATTCACAAACTAACTACTCCCGTCAAGACTAAAAAAAAACAGCGACAATTTTCCCCAAAACGTTGTGATCTGTCGAAATTGATATCAATCTCAACACGCTCATTGGAAATTTAATTTCGGTCTAGTATAAACCCACTGAACGACTGGAGTATGAGTCTATGGAGCCATCAGCAACGTTAGCAGCAATATCAACCTCTACCCCCACCGGTACCACAACCTATCGCAGTATACCACAACACATCCCGTATGCATCGGAGCAATAAATTACCTAACGAACCGTCCCCAGGGGAGTGTGGCCGTAACGAGTCTCTACCGAGGGGAAGGATAGCGGACATCA